CCAGTCCTCACTGCTATTACAAAAAACAAAAAGCAGCAGGATAAGGCAGTGCCTGTGTTCCTTTGGAACAAAGCAACCAGCCAAGACCTTGTTGCTGTGCTACCTCAGATAGCATATAACCAAGGCCCCTTCATGAGACAATTGAGCCTCATCATCATCATCCAGCAGGACCTGATGGATTGTTTGCTCACTGTACAGACTCTACTCCCTTCTTCTCCATATTTAAAATTACATGTGATGCTGGCTACCAGCTATGTTGGCTTCAAAAAAGGGTTGGAGCTTTTCATGGAAATCATGGGAATCAACAGCTATTAGCTTTGACACTAGCAAGATTTGAAGACTATCTTGGGACAATAGAGGGCTTCCTTGTACAGTTGGTTGGCACTGTGAGAATAGATTGCTAGACTAGATGGGCCAGGAGAACGATCGGGTAGGACATTTCTTATGTTCTTAAACAAAACGTATTCAAATCAGCCACATACGAATTAAGGACAGCAAATGAAAGTGTTGCCTATTTTTTTTAGAAAACAGTGGAACTGAGAATACTGTACAAATTATCTTGACATATGAGTAGAAATATTAAAAGCAGCTTTTAGAAATTGATTATTGAAAGCAGTCTGTTCTTGGGACAGAATAACTGTCACTCTCTTATTTTTACTTCCAATATCACATGAAAGGATTTTATGTCTGTGTAAAATTATATATTTATTTATTCTCATTTATATCACTACTCATCTCACATACATACACTAGATAGCTTACAATAAAAGAGAATATGCATCCAATAAAAAAATAAAACACATAGTAGCCAAGCATAAAAAAACCCAACTCTTAATAAAGTTAGCTTTGTAGAAGGATTTTTTTTTGTTTCTAAATGGGCTTCATGTATCTGTGAGTGCATTTGATTCATGGAAATTTGTTCTCCCAATCAAACCAGCAGAGGGCAAACCCACTTTCTAGAGCTAGAATACTCTGCTCCAAAATTCACCAACTTTTCCAGCTTTGTGGAGTGGCGGGGTTGGTAGTGGGGATGTACATGCATGCTTGCCTGCCGTTTCTGCAACTCAGTTACAAACAGCTCACTACCATTTGTGGCTTGCAGCCCAGAGGTTGAATCCCGGCTCTACCAACTCCTGCCTAGTTGACTAAGTCTTCCCCTGCCCAATTTAAGTTAGTTAAAATACTGCTCATCCATGAAAGTCCGGCAGTATTCAATTTTAATGCAATAAAGTTAAAAATATTAAAGCTTTAAAACAAGAGATAAATTAAACAAGCTAGCATAATCCTTCAAAATGCTTGGAAATATACATTAAATATAACAAACTCATAAAATTGAAAGCAACATAAACATTAATTAAACTTGAATTCCAAATTTATGTATTTATTTAAAATTAGGACGAATATTTTTTAGGTCTCATATGTTGTTTTTTTGCCTTTGGCATGAAATACATCATTTATGTCAATCACGTTTCTGCTTTTGGAACCCTACTTGAATTACTGCCCTTCGGCAATAGATTTAGAAGTTATAGCGAAGAGGGAAGGCACTTTGATTTGGAATAGCAAGTAACTTAGCCATAAGAACCTGCTGATATATTAGTGTGGAGTTTCCCCAGATTACACTGTTTTTAAAACTCAAGGAAATAATATACATATTATTTTGGTGCTAAAAATAACCTTAATAAAATATATATGCATTATTAATGCACTAAAATTGACATAAATTTATTGGGGATACTAACTAAAAAAACAAAGTTGTTTGTAATCTGTTCATAAAATCAAAAATACAGTGTGTAAAAATGGAATATCTGTAAATATCTCACATTAAAATGAAAAGAAGTTATTGCTGCTAAACTCTGTGACAGAATCTGTATGTATTTCTGAGCAAGGAAATTATGCTGTAGTTAATCAAATATAATTTTTGAAAAGTTGGTGTGCTACCGTGTTAACATCGCTCTCAACAATCACTTCACTCATTGTAGCTGATTTTAAGGAAATTAATTACAATGATATTTGTAAAAAATCAACATTGGTACTTACTTCAGTTCTTTACTTAGTACTATATTAATTCTGTTTTTTAAAGGGCGATTTTCCTCAGGGATGGAGAACCAAGTCTTCCTACCCATTATGACCACATTTTGCTTTCCTGTAAAATGCAAATATATTTAATGTGATTATATAGTGACACCTAGTGGTTATAGTGTGGTATATTTAGTCAACCTTTTCAAGCAATATTGTTACACTTTTCAAAACTTTGAAGAAAAACTCTTGAT